TTTAGTTTTACTTTATTCGGTCAGAGTTTATATTGGAATGGATAATTGATAAACATATGTCATAACCATTTTTTTTTAAAAAAATTATTAAATATTATTTTTTAAAAATAATTATGACTCGTGTACTTAATTAATCTCTGTTGTTAATTAGTATTTGTTAATTGTTATCATTTTCAACACGTCATATATGCTTTCTCAATATGGTACTAACTTTTAACGAAAACTTGCAAGAAATACATACATAACATAATAGTTTATAATCTCATCAAATTTATTTTCTTTTACACTTTAATAAATTAATTATATTCGTACATTTGTATTGACTTCATGCTATTTTTTATATCTTTATGTTTGTATTGTTTCCCCCCCCCCCCAAAATATTATAATTCTTTAACATACATTTTAATATGTTTGTATATGTATGTCATGCTCGTATAATTTATGTAACACCCCTAACCTGTACCCCGACCCGGATACGAGTCTGAGGTGTCACATTGACTTTTCAAACTTTGACTCTTGACAAAATTCAAAGAATATTTAAAGCTTTCATTAAAGTAAAAGCAGTTTAGTTACATAATTTGACCACAATAACCAAAATCGATCAGAGCATATTTAACTCAATCAATTAGTACATGCCAACTATATTCAAAATAACAAAAATCATTTAACTCATCTATTTTCTGATCTGAAATCTTGTAAGGGAGATGCTGACCTGTATTGCTCCTCACAACTTATATATTCACTTTCTGTAACCTGCGTGTGAAACACTCACACGCTAAGTCGATGACTTAGTGAGGCATAAAGAAAAACACATCTAATGGAATTCATACCCACTAATCATGCATGACTGTTTTATGCTATCAAATTATACAACTCATTTACATATACATCAACATATATTCATGTATATTATGTAACATATATCATAACCCCTATCACACATATATCATATCATGCAATTCATATCACACATCATATACATATATCACATACATTGTTCTCATATCACCAACCTGTTTATCCTTACTAATTCCCTTGTCATTACTTCAATTCCGTCATATGAGCATATAATGAATATAAACATATTATATATATTTTAATATGCCACAATACATTACGAATTTCTATAATCATATAATACATAAACGCATAGCATCTCATATCACCATGACATATATGCACTTCTACCATGTCATGAGAAATACACATATCATTATATCAAATTATGTTCTCTTTTCAAAGCCCATGTACACATGTGAGAACTATAGATATGTGAGTCTATAGAGGTTGTGCACTATGCTGTCACCACAGCTCGTATAATTGCACCGGAGTGCCACGTAGAATTGCACCGGAGTGCCGTATAGAATTGCACCGTAGTGCCATATAATAATGTCCATAAGGACCACACATCATTCCTTAAGTATACTAGGGATCAAGTATGTGTCTCACCAGACTTCACACATGTTCCAAATAATACATATATGTCCTGAAGGACCACATATCATTCCTTAATAATCATATACATATGCCAAGGATCAAGTATGTGTCTCACCAGACTTCACACATGTTCCAAAGAATACATATATGTCCCGAAGGACCACATATCATTCCTTAAGAATCATATACATATGCCAAGGATCAAGTATGTGTCTCACCAGACTTCACACATGTTCCAAAGAATACATATATGTCCCGAAGGACCGCGTAGACCCTCTACTCTTGGCATGCCAACTATACCCCTAGCTCTCATGACACATAACATGGGCATTAATATTTATGTTAACATACATTCACATATACACATAGTCATGTAGTTCTTTCACATAGCTCATCGTCATACAAATCACATATCACATATACATATGAACCCATGGTTCACTTACGAGTAGAACATTTCCATATAATTGCATAGTCATATAATATTTCATATAACATATATTTTCTCTTTCATATATCTCATATCATGTATCATATCTTGTGATCATATAATCATGTTACTTATAATCACATAACTTCTACTCATAGAGTTCAACATCATTAAACTTAGTTACATTTTTCATATCATCATACATTTATATATTCTTATATGTCCTATCAATAACCTATAAACTTACTCATATTCTCATATATCATATTTTAATATAATTTGTATAATAATACTCTATAATTGTATCATATAATGATTTTACCCAAATACTCCTTTATAAAGTTTATATTACAGGTTCAATTAGTCTCATTCTATCTTATAAATAATTTCCACTTATTTAATATCATTTTCCTTTTCCACTCACATAAACCATCTATTTATTTAGTTCAATTTCTCATGACTTCCACAATACTCTTTAATAAAACTTTGTAGCTCTTCACTATAATACATAAACCATAGTTTCCTTTAATTTATCAATCTTCCCTATATAACTTATGTATCCTTATTTATGCCCTCGAATTTATACTATTCTCTTAGAGTCTCCTAACATTTCTCGTATAATCACTTATACCATATCATATGACTTATACTTGGTTATCTTATTCTCTCGTGTTCATTTCATTTCTTATGACTCTATCATATAACTTATTCCATGTTTTTCCATTATTACATAATAAAGTTTTACATAAATCATATAGCATATACAAAGCATATCATTATCTTTAGTCATGCATACATACAATCAATGTAATACAGATAATCACATATAATTATAACAACACATAATTTTGTCCATGACTTCATGCATATTACTCTAGGAAATAGACTCATCGCAAGTCTTATTTCCATTAAACACTACATATCACTAGTATGCACTCACCTTGTCCTCGCTAGTCAATTACAATCTCTTATCTTTCCATTGATCGATCTTACTTGCCAAATGTTCCGGAATTGCTTTACGCGCAGAATCTACATAAATGTACATTTTGAGGCAATCATTAGATACCTACACCTTGTAATTGGATACTAGCAACTTAAACGAACTTATTAAACCAATATTCACATTTTTCCTTTAGGGGGAATCGATTCCCTCCTGTGGGGGAATCGGTTCCCCTATGAGATTCTGGAATTTCTGGTTCGCTTGAGGGGTATCGATTCCCCATTGAATGGGTACCGAATCCCTTGAATGGGTACCGATTCCCCTTGCCCAGAAATCATATTTTCAGCACGAAATTTACTTCATTTCATCTTAAACACTTCATATTTCAACCTCTCCTATATACTAAACTCAAACACACATACTTAAGCCCATTTGTACTCATTTAATCCATCTTAATTCTCAAAATCCTCTCCTCTTAATGAAATTCAAGAATTATACTCAATTTTCAACATGTTCTAAATTCCTTTCTATCACTCCAAATCTCTTAATTCAACTATTGACAAGTCAAATTCAACTTATCAACTTTATTTCAAGATTTCATTCAAAAACTCAAAATCTTTAATCTCTCCTATACCTTTCATCTTGTTGTTTTATAACCAATTAAGCTTTCCTTAAGCTTAATTACTATCCAATGAACAACACCCAACCTTTAGTTGAACAAATAATCAACTAATGAAGAATTTACCTTTGCCCTTGAGCTCTTACGGGAGGAGAAAGAAGAAAGGAAGAATAGATGAAATGTTTTCATCTTCCACGTTTCAATCTCCTATTAAAGGTGATAAAAAATATATTTATTGTCAAATGACCATTTTGCCCTTTACTACTTTGGATAATTACTAAAAACTTCCAGGGATTATCTCCACATAAATCATTGAACTTTCCAACTTTTCCACTTTAATCACCAAATTCTGAAATTTTACAATTTAGTCACTAACCTATAATTTGGGATGTTACAATTTATTTATGTGACGTATCGTATTGTATATAATTTAATTAAATTGTTTATCACTTGAATTAATCTCAGTCGATACATACTATTTAATTTTAATTAAGGACTGGCTTTTCAATTTTTTTGTTGATTAAGAAAAAGCAAATGCATGTGAAAGCAGTGCGTGGTACGTTTCACATGATCATGGACTAATTAGATAATTAATAAACTATATTTTGATCCCCATGCTTATAATTTATACAAGACTATGTTTAAGCCCATAAACCTAAGATACAATACACATTGAAGCCGACCACAGATCTGGTAACGGTTTGAGACTTTTAATTTTTGCATGTTAAAGGTCTGTTTCCAGCTCTGATTCAATGACCAAATATTAAGTAAAGAAGTGTTGTAATAATGATAGATTTTATAATTATAGAAATAAATATGCTTGTATTAAATAAAATTAGAATAATTTTATCGAAAAGAGAGATGAGATTACAGTGATTTTTCAATTTACTGATTTTTTTTCTTGTGATATTTCTTGCTTTTTCTTTGAGGTATATTCTTGATATATTGAAGAAATGAGTTGCTAGGGGATCATTAATCTGCATAATAAAGTAGTGGCAAACTATTCACTTTCGGTAATAGGGGCTCCCTCTTAAAATCTCTTTCATTGTGTGTAATTTTTTTAATTTTTTTGTTCTTTCTCTTTTATAGAATTATTGTTTGAGATTCTTCGTCCAAATTATAAAAAATAAACAGTCAAAATTATTACTTCATTTTTTTCGTAATAAAATTTCATTTAATTTGATTTAAATAATAACATTTTTTAATCGGGATTTATGTCTATCAAATCCATATTAATAATTAGGTATTACAAAACAAAATGCACCTGAACTCGTTAATTGTTCTCTTCGGAATTTTTAATCGATGATAAATGAATTATTGTTATTATTTGAGATATCTCAAATAATACACTATGAATTTCATAAGTGTAACATTTAATGTTAAATAATTAAAAATTATTTTATCTTATACTCGCCGATTAATTAAAAAAATATTATCTTATTTACATTTTTTTTTACATTTTGAAGAGAATATAATCGATTGACTAATTATAAAATATGAATATCATAAAATAGATTATAAATAATAAAATTTACAAGCATTCCTAAAATCCAAAAAAAAAAAAGAGTGTTCCGGGTGCCAAGCTAATAGAAGAGAGAGAAGGGAAAATCCAAGAGAGCAACAGTTCACTGGAGCGGGGGCTCCTCCGTATTTAGAAGCAAATTTGATTGATTAACGCGATCTGGTGAAACCCATTTGATCCATTTGTTTAGGGAAGCGAAAGAACATGGTGGGATGAGGCAGTGGGCGAAGTAGGTTGGAGATGGCTAGAGAAGGCAGAGGACCGGAATGGGGTGGTTCGGGTTCGGGTCTGTCTCCGTGTAGAAGAATCACTCTGATTGTTTGCTCCCTTAACATTTTTATTACTCTCTATTGTCTCCATTCTCTCTACATTTATCCCAACAAAGATCATGGTGGTGAGTTTATATTAGCTTGCCTTCGGTTTTTCTGGAAAAATTCTGTTAATTAGTCTTTTGATTTTCTGGAGTTGCTTTTTTTTTTTAGTTGTAAAGCATACACCAGATCATATAAAAAATGGAACAATCACTTAGAATTCGAAGAGCCAATGAACCTATAGATCATGTTAAATTGGTATGCAAATTATCCAATTGTTCCTTTTTTTCTCTTTCTTTCCCCCGTTTGTGGTGGTAGTATTGAATGTTGATATCTGTAAATAAAGGTAAAGCGATTAAAGCTTGAATTTTGGGGTGAAGAAGAGTCAACGGGTGTAGCTGAACTGCCACAAGCAGTTAAGAATAAGATAACTGATGAGATACTGCAAAGATTGAGAAGTTTGAGACGAAATGCTACTGCCAGCTAGCAGCGAGGTTGGTGTCTGCCTAAGCTTTTCATTTTTTGACTGATTCGGGTGATTTAGCTTACAGTTTCAAGTGAACACGATGTTGTGTTTCTGTTTATTCTTATTTGGTAACTAGTGTTCTATTGTGGTGTAGTTATACATGGATTGAGCATTTCTGATGTTTTAGGATAAGACTATTTTCCGTAAAGTTGAAGATTGTAATCTTTGTATAAGCCAACGATTACAGAGTTTGCTAGTCCATTAATAATCTATTAATGAAAAATCACAGTCTTAGCTACATTCTTATTACGGAAACTTGCAGATGTGTTGAGGTATAAGAAATGCGATACTGACATTAAGAATCGAGAACATGATGATAACCCTGAGGGTGTGGAAGATACCGGTAATTGTTCAATTTCTCCTGTTGATCAAAACCACAAACTTGGGAGTGAGTGTTGGATAATGCGAACGTATCCGATCCAACACGGGCATGTTCAATATTTTATCGAAGTTTTTGTTTTTTCTTATAATCGAGGAACATACCCCGTATACAAATGTTCGGAGACAGGTTTAGGAAAACTAAAGAGTTGGAGAACATAGGTCAAGATAACATGCATATTTTAAGTTGATGTAATGGTTAGAAATGGCTGTCAGTGAGGTCTAATACTCTTGTACAGAAGATGACGAACAAAATTTAGCGGGGAGGCCTCTCCCAACGGAATGCAACCCTGAACTTCATACTGATTACGATGGTGATTGTGTTCGATGGGGTATTTCCAATCCCAAAGAAAATGCTGGTGATTGCTGCCAGGCTTGCATAGATCAGGCGAGATCCGCAAAACCAGATGAAAAGAAATGCAACATATGGGCAGGGTTTTAAAAAACGGTCCGCGACCATGATTTCGGCCGCGATATAGCGGTTTCGCCGCCGTCCGAGTTACCCGCGACGGCCGCAATAGCATCCGCGACAGCCGCAATAGCGCCCGCGACGGCCGCAATCACGGTAAATCCGAAATAACCGAAAACGCGACCGCGACCGTGATTTGAAACCCTGCATATGGGTTTATTGTCTTTCCGAGTCCGGTTGCTATTCCCCATATAAATACGAACACAAACTCATGGAATACTGGCTGAAATACGTAAGTGTTGTTTTTCAATCCATTAACCATTTCATGGCACTTTAGCATCCACCAGAAGTTGTTTGCAACTCGAAGCTAATAAAGAAAACTAAATTGCAGTCAGAGAAGCCGACTTTGAACTTTAAGGACCGATACTCTAAAGAATACAGAACCCAAAGGCGCCTGTTATCGTTCCTTGGGTACCCAATGTCATTAGCGTCTGAACTTCAAGCAACAAGACATGATCGTCGGCAGTCAATTCCGAGATCCCGCTGATGACTCTTTAGAATGCTACATTTACATCTGATTAGCAGAACCCAATTTTTTTTTTGTATCACGAAAGGCATATTGGTTTTTGTAAACGGCATGCTGAGAATTTAGGAGGCTATTGTTTGTAGTTTAATTAATTCCATTGTTTAAAAACAATGATTTTTTGTTGCTAGGGGTAGCTTGAATAATTTTCAAACATTAGTATAGGAGATTTTTCAGACTCTTTATGTAAAAAAATAAATAAAAAATAATCAATCTTTTTTCCTTTTTAAGTCTTTTTGTTAAATAATTAAAAAATCATATAAACTTCAGTCACTTGTTGGGGAATGTATTAGAATTTCATAAAAAATAATTTGATTTTTAATCAATTAATTATTTTTTAAATTCATTTTTTACCTCTCTCACTGTTTATAAATTCCATCCACCTTTTGGAAGGGTCTTTTTGAAAATAATTTTTTAATTGACCAAATATTTTTAAAGGTTTTCTTAAATTTGTTTTTGTTTATAAATTGCACCCAGGGGAATATGGTCGGTTTTCATAAAACACAATTTGCTTTTGTTAGCTATTTGTTTAAAAAATTTCTCATTCTTTTATGGTTGTTAATTCTGCCTTTTGGGAGAATATATATATCAAATTTAACGTGAAGAGGCTACTTTAGTATAATTAGGTTATTTTTATATTTATATATTAAATTTATTACAAATAATCCATTTATTTATAGGTTATTTTTATATTTCGGACTGAAAAATTAATTTGATAAATTGAGGAGGCTAATTCAGAATAATTAGGCCCATGAAAACTAATATGAAAACAAATAAAATTCAGAGGCCCTTTGTTGCAAAGAAGAGAAAGGTAGGCATATACGGCTAGAAAATTCCATTGTCATAGACCGTCCTTTACCATCAATATTAAACTTCCAACTTTCCTCCCGCCATCCTCTTAAACAGCGTCTTTAACGGAATTTCCTAATCTTTTCCGATAGTTTTCCCAATTAAATTATGCTTCGTCACTGTTTAAGATCTCGTCGGCGTTTCTTTCTTCATTATTCGCGACGGTTTTACTCCTCCTCTTCAAACCCCGTTGAATCCCCTAATAATTTTAATAATCGACATCCCGAACCTTCCCAATCGCCGCCGCCGCAAAATTTTCAAACTCATCTTTCAACTGTCCCTTCCAGAACCGTTTCTCTTTCTCGAAATTCCGTTTTGGCCCTCTCCGCCACTCTACTCTCCGCTGTTGTCGCTTCCGTCGCCGTTTTACTTGTTGATAAAGGCAATGAAGCCTCCGACGATAATAACCCTAACCCTAGAAGAAGCCCTCTTTACGAATCGATTGAGTATTCGATTCAAAAATCGAATGAGTCCTTCAGGAGGATCGTCCACCAGGCTAAACAAACCAGCGTTGCCGCCTCTGTTTTGTGGCAATCGTTGAGGTCGGTGATGTCGTCCGCGAACCATGAAGTTCGGGTGGGGTTCGAGCTACGCGTGGCGTCGTTGCTCGCGGACATTGCTGCTGCCAATGCGAGCCGCAGGGCTGCCATTGTGAGCGCCAATGGCGGCGCGGTAGTCGATTGGCTGCTGGAGACGGTAGCTGTCGGCAAGATAGATGTTTGCAGCACTCAGGCCGAGGCTGCAAGGGCGTTGGCTTATCTAATTGCTGATCCTGACGTGCGTAGAGATGTGCTTGGAAGGCCAGGCGCTGTTTCCTATCTGTTGAGGTTCATTTTTTCATGTCAACCTCAAAATAAATCCAAAAGGGTACGTTGTTTTATTTCTTTTGTTTATCAACTGATTATGAAATTGCAACTTTTTTGCACCCGAATCTTGTTGGTGCTTCTAAGTTTTTTGTTTTACCATTGATAAATATCTTTTGTGTGGGAGCAGCATTCGGGTCGTAGTTCATTCGATATTTCTGATTCTTTGAAAGGTAGAAGTATGCTTGTTGCTGCTATAATGGATATTGTTACATCCGATTGTAATAGTGTAGAGAAGGAATCTTTTAAGCCTTGGCTACCTGAGAATGCTGAGATGAGAGATATTGCAGCAGCTGTTCAAGTTATTGAAGAAGGTGATATGCATTTAGATGAGGGGGAGGACGAAGATGATGATGGTGGAAGAGGTATGAAAGGGATTGGGATTAAAATTCTTGAAGGAACGACTGCTTTAGGGCTGTCGAGAACCGCAGAGCATATGCCATTAGATAACTCAAATGATACCCCTTCAGCATTACAGAGGGATGCTCCGAAAACACTTGAATTGTTGAATAAGCATGATAGTTCCGTGGACAAAGCCAATTTGTCAGCTGCTGTTGTTCCAGGTCTTTGGGATGATTTGCATACTCAGCATGTTGCTGTGCCTTTTGCTGCTTGGGCGTTAGCCAACTGGGCAATGGCATCGGAGACCAATAGATCTCATATTGAAGAATTGGATCGAGATGGGGAGGCTGTCATGAGTGCCTTACTAGCACCTGAGAGATCTGTGAAATGGCATGGTAGCTTGGTGGCTCGTTTGTTATTGGAAGACCATAATCTAACCTTAAATGACTCTATCTCTGATTGGGCGTCCACTCTTCTTTCTACTGCATCACATGCAAGTAAAAATGAAGACATTTTATTATCTCAAATGGCTTTATCGGCTTTTATAGTTGCTGTTGAGAGGAGCCGTGAAGCACGGAGGACTGTAATGGAGAAGGGTCTGGAGTTGATGAGAGTCACTGCAAAGAGAACTGCAAAGCATCAGCAGGTTCAAGAAGCTCTGGCAAAATCTTTGGAATTGCTCTCAACTGAGGATTGGCATTTATCTATTGAAGAAAGTCAAAAGTGGTCTCGTATTCTGCTTTCTTGGGTTTTTGGAAAATCTTCCTCCACTGGAATTCGATCCTCTGCCATAAGAATTCTTTCATGTATTCTTGAAGACCACGGCCCATCTTCTGTTCCAATTTCTCAAGGATGGTTAGCTCTTCTGCTAAATGATACCCTGGCTTCCTGCAAGGCATCATCTGTTAAAGAAGGCACCGACAAAGTGAAGGTTAGAGTATGTACCTTTTGTTTTTTATTGCTTTCATTTTTATTAACAAGCTTAACCTCATTATGCACTTGTTTTGGAATCTAAGAATAAAATTTTACATTTTCAACTCACTATATTTTGAAATCTGCAGACTCAGATTGATCAGTCTAACATTCTTTCAGCTGGACAGACTGTTAATCAATTAGCAGTTGCAGTTGTTAATCTGGCTGGAAATCAGTTGACCGGTTCTGTTGATACCTTCCCCCTAGCAGATCTTCTTTCTCTTGAACCTTTCACTGGACCATTTAAAAATCTAAAGAAAGATAATCCTCCAAAGTTTGATGTTGCAGATTCTGCATTGGCAACCCTCAAGGGGATCAAAGCACTGACTGAAATTTGTGCTGAAGATTCTTTATTGCAGGATAAAATTACGGATCTGGGGGTCTTATGTTTGCTAAGACGCTATTTGTTATGTGATGATTATGAGAAACTGTCTGCAATAGAGGCTTATGCTGCATCTAGAGCACCTGAGGCGCAAGAAAGGGTTTCAAGTAATAGTAGTGAGTCATCACCTTCAAATACGAATAATCCATCTAGTGTTCGAGTTCCACCTACTGCTCACATTCGGAGGCATGCAGCTAGACTTTTAACCATTCTTTCACTCCTTCCAAAAGTCCAGAAAGTCATTGCAGCTGATGAAACATTGTGTAAGTGGCTTGAGGATTGTGCTGATGGGAAGACATCAAGCATCAATGATCTTAAGATACGAAGTTATGCTAGGGCGATTCTGTTAAATGTATTTTGCAATCAACAAATTGGTATTGACTCGGTAAATAGTGATCCTGGAAATGGTAGCAGAGATGGTACACACAACTGCCCAAGTTACGATGATATGATATTCTTAATAAACCCTGAACTTCCCCAGTGGAAGTGTCCTGGTCCTCCTGGAAAAGACCAATCCTCTGTGCAGCAAGATAAGTCTATTTCAAATGAGGTTGATTCCATGAATAGTAATAGTACAAATGTAACCCAAGTTTCAGATGTTGCTGACTCATCCAATTCTTCGAATGTGCCTAATAATTATTCTGATTCTGAAATTCCTCAAATGGATATCGTCTTTGTACATGGGCTTCGTGGTGGACCTTATAAAACTTGGCGCATATCTGAGGATAAATCCTCAACCAAGTCTGGCTTGGTAGAGAAAATTGATGAAGAAGCAGGGAAGCTTGGAACATTTTGGCCAGGTGAATGGCTTTCGGGTGATTTTCCTCATGCTCGCTTGTTTTCCCTGAAGTACAAGGTTTGTTTTAGTTTGGTGGTAGCTTTAAGAAATTTTAATTACTAGGTTTTTTGCAAGCTGTTCACTTCTTGTACTTTTGAGGTCTTCAGTGACTGTCTCTCATACTCCAAAATCTGTTTTATTTGCTACACAGACAAACCTAACACAGTGGTCTGGAGCTTCCCTGCCTCTTCAGGTTTGCTGCTTTTGTTTTATTAGTTTGTCACTTTTTGTTATGCTTCAGTTACTCTTGTTCTTTCATTATTTATTTATTTATGAAATACTTAGATGCATGTTATTTGAGTAATGAGTTCTCTTTAAAAGCATGCAACAATGAGCACATCATTTGGAACTCGATTTATGGTGTTATACGCTTCCATATTTCTTAGATGTATGTCGGTGTGACAGAAATCTTCAAACATTTGGGTATCAATTTCTTTTTCTTCTGACATTATTCATGAACTTCTCATTTTGACCTCCAGGAAGTTAGTTCCATGTTATTAAAGAAGCTGGTTGCTGCAGGCATTGGGAGTCGGCCTGTTGTGTTTGTGACCCACAGGTTAATCAATTTAATCTCCTCTTTTCTTTTCCTTTTTTGGCTTGGGGGTTCTGGTGCAATTGGTATTTTGACATGATTATTATTTGACATCGAATGGCTAATGTTACTCTTCGTGTTGGAAAATAAAAGTTTAAGTCGGTGTCTTTTGGTGCAAAACTCTTCTTGTGACTTAAGATAGTCTTTAATTGTTCCAAATTTCCCTTTTTGTTTGATGCATGATTTCCTCTTATATGAAGCCTGGGAGGTCTGGTGGTCAAGCAGATGCTATATAAAGCAAAGACAGAAAATATGGACAACCTTGTGAACAACACCGTTGGAGTTGTAAGTTGCTATTTCCATTATTTTATTCCAAATACCCCGGTTTAGAGAAGGAACCTTGAGGTGTGCTGTTAATGTATTTGAACTTGCAGTGGCAAGTTCAATAATCGCGGTGTTTCATCTAATTCCAGGTGTTCTATAGCTGCCCACATTTTGGGAGCAAGCTTGCCGATATGCCCTGGAGAATGGGGCTTGTGTTACGTCCAGCTCCAACTGTTAGTATATGTTCAATTATGAACTTTTTTAATCAATACATACCTGTAATTCTGGAATTTTGGACTCCTACAATAGTTTCAATCCAGAATCTGACACCGGACCTTTTTAACTGCTTTTCTTTCACAGATAGGGGAATTGAGAAGTGGTTCTCCTCGACTTGTGCAACTTAATGACTTTCTTCGTCGCCTTCACAAGAAACAGATGCTCCAAGTCCTTAGTTTCTGTGAGGTAAGCATCTATTCATTATAATCTATTGTCACCCTCCTAGAATCTTGCATCATTGTGCGCATTTGCATTTCATTTTAGTTTTATCACTTTGCAAGCTTGATATGAGCTTCTAATTTGCTATCTTTCAGACCAAGGTCACTCCGATAGTTGAAGGTTACGGAGGATGGGCATTTCGTATGGAAATCGTGCCAATTGAATCAGCCTATCCCGGATTTGGTGAACTTGTTGTAAGTGTTTATCTTTCGACATTGATGCCTAATATTTTCTTAAATGATAAAACTCTGGATCCTTTCACAATGATGTGACAAACAAATATGTAAACATCATATGATTCTGTAAAAGGTTCTAACCCCCCAACATCTATTCTTGTTTCTACTGCGAAACAGGTATTAGATTCTACGGATCATATAAATTCATGCAAACCGCTCAGCAGATCAGATCCTTCATACACAGAAGCATTAGAATTCTTGCGAAAACTCAAAGCTCAATATACATGAAGAAAAGTTTATCATTATACTCGGCAATTGGCATCATTTCTTTCTCATTTTTTCCCCCGAATTTGGCTTTATGTCTGATTTTTTTTTCTTGGAGGTTGGCGGATTCAAACTTTTATGATTAGGAGTGGATCAAGTAACTAACCTTTAGGTAAAAGTTAGCACCTCCCAGTATATACTTGCATATGATCAACATTTGTGTCGCAGCTTTCTGTACATCCTTTTGTTTATTTTTATTTACATTTTACTTGTATCTCTAGGAAGCAGAAACCCATCCAATGAATGGGTTCTTAAAATACTGTACACACATTTGCTAATAAAAGAGGAATACACATTGTTCAAATATTAGACTAATGGATCCTTAATGCTGCTGTTCATTGTTCTTGAATAAGCTTCTGTTCACTTTCAGAAAAACACGTCTCTTAGGAGTTTGCCCAAAATTTTATTAGTGTTCAATTTCATGTCACGTATGTAAAAATTCGATTAAAATTTTTTAACTCTCAAAGTATAAAGTAATATAATTTAAATATTTATTAAAAAATTATTTTAAGGGAGATAGATATCCTAGGCCACAAATGATGACTTTAATGTAATATAATATAAGTAGAAAAGTTGATGTTTCAGCTATTTATTTAATGTACAAATACAGGTGGGTTCATGTCAACTTCTGCTTCACCAAAAAATTCAAACACTGGTGGGTCACCATAACACATCCATCCTTACCGCAATAATACAAAATTAAATTACTATTTATAAACAGAACACGTTCAATTGCCAAATAAACACAAAACCCAGAGAACATCGAAGATCAGACATCTAGTCTATAAACAAATTGAAAATTCTGAAGAAAGCTGAGATTTTGTGAGAGAAAATAAACCATGGAGGTAATGAAAGCGACTTCTCCGAATCTGAGTTTTGATTTCAACAGCGCTCCTTCTTCGCCTAGACGATTTGGCGAATGTTTCTTTAGTGCACCCACGAGCCCCTCACGGTTGTCCGACTTTTATTGTGAATTTGATGGGTTGTCGACGATGGATGATACTCAAATCACTGAAAGCTGTATGAGAAACACTTCTTTGGCGGTTCCTTTTGATTGGGAAGACAGAACTGGCACACCAAAATCATTACCAACAACAAAGATCCGTCACGATGATGATGGTTTTGCTTTTCATTTTCGTCAGCCATCGGGCAAAACTCTCCAGCTTTCAGCTGAAGAACTCTTCGACGGTGGCAAAATCAAGCCCTTGAAACCTCCACCGCGGTTACGGGTTGTCAATGGAAATGATGAAAAAACCTCATTTTTATCATCCCCGAGGTCGTCAAAATCGCCATTACCACAAGGTAAAAAGATCTTCCAAGCTTTTTCACCGAGAAAGAAAAAAGAACCTTTTGAAACTGCCATTGAAAGAAGCGTAGAAAACACAGAGAACGGAAGAGGAAGAGTTGAAGATTCGTCATCAAAGAATTCAACTCGAAGAACAACGAGATCACTTTCTCCTTACAGAGTCTCAGAACTTCCATTGGGAGAACAACAAGAAAAAGTGAGGCGAGATCAAAACAACGAAACCACAGGCAGTAATCAATCGTCTTTGAGTTGGAAACTTCCGTCTTCCTCAAAGGGTTCTTCAGGAAAATGGAAATTAAAAGATCTGCTCTTGTTTAGAAGCGCATCGGAGGGGCATAATAAAGACCCGTTTAGGAAATATTCGTCGTTTTTCAGAAAACCTGAAGATAATTATAACAAGAATTCTAGTTTTAAATCCAAAGACACGTCCAAGAGAAAAGTATCGGCTCACGAGTTACATTACACGACGAACAAAGCAGCGTCCGAGAATATGAAGAAGAAAACTTTCATGCCGTACAAACAAGGAATTCTGGGAAAATTTTCTTTCAATTCCATTGGTTCTGGAACGCTTGCTCCATCATATAACAATGCCAAGTGATTTCATCATCTCCATTTTCATGTGTTTCTTTTCTGTCTTTGTAAATAGTAATTGTTTCATAATTATTGCTATAAGTAGAATGCTTTTGAAATCAATGGAACTCTTTAAATTTTCCATTAGCTTTTTAATTGTGAAATAATTGAGGTTTGTTCACATATATCAAATACAAATTTATTCATCAACAATTAATTGATCTAGAAGTTTAACGGATCTTCGAATTAGTCGATCAATAAATCAAATATCAATAATTAAATAATATATATTTAGTCTATAATAGGATGAATTTTCGAATTAGTCAATCAACATATCAAATATCAATAATTAAATTAATATATATACAAATTTATTCAAATGAACTAGATCAAAAGCTATGTGAATCATATATATAATTTTGTTTTTAATGAAGTGGAATCATCTAATTCAATGTATAAAAGAAAACAATTGATTTCCAGAAAAAAATAAATTATACATATATTTTTTAAAATGTACTTTAAAATCGTCACACATAAATTCTAAAACATCCTTCTAAAACTTAAATATTATATATTTAGGAATATTTGAAAAGAATATATAAAGATTTATCTATAAAAATTAAAGACAAAATGTCCAATATGTGCAATTTACGACACATTCAAACATTGAATGATACAAATTAAAATTAATATCTGAAATCTATTTGGCAAGGATGTGGATATGGAAGGATAAGACACTTAAATTAGTCCAAGTTTCAAGGGGGGAAAATAATATCATAAAAATTACTAAATAAGAAAATAAAACGAGAGAGGGGACCTCTTCCACTTCTAGAATCTTAGACTTATAATTTGTGAATTCGTCATTGTGGATCATACAAAAATACAGTACAAGTTTACGTAACAAAGACATTTAGAGAATAAAGTAATTGTCATCTTCTAGATGTGACCAACACAATGACTTAACAATGTTAGATGTCTTCTATTGCAAGTGCCACTTAATGATGGCAAGTTCATATCTTAGATCTTTTCAATAAAAAATAAATATTAAATCACAAGTAAATATATAGGTGTATTTAGTCCGACTGTAGCTTGGGACTAGAGATTTAAATAACGATTTGTGATTGTAAAAACACGCGCTATATAGTAGTAGAGATGTTGTTCGTTATCATTATTGCATGATTGTGATACCCACAATCATCTTAATAATGTTCGCCATATTCACACACAATAAACTAACGCAATCGAAGATATGATCATAACCATAATTTAAATTCCTGCTTGGGACTTCGAGTCACCAGGCTATCATCGCAAAGCATCCTTTTGGTGATTTGGAGATTCAATATGGGATACAAATTCCAAATCTTAGGGATGATATCAGAATCAGATGTAATCCAATATATTATGTACAATACCCAACCTGGGTTTCATGCCCAATTATGATTTTTAGGGTTTTCACGAAAGCCCACTAGGAATAGTACAACATAAGGGTTAAAAAGAATGCAAAAATCCATTTGAATATGTTTCTTTCAAGTAAACAAGAGTAGGGTCATTTTGAGTTATAAGCATTTAATCATATATTATACAATAATATGCCCCCCTCCCCCTCTCTTGTATATAAGATTCACACCTTTTTTTTTTACCTAAAATAAAACATGAGGAAAACATAAACATCTCTTGTTAATTTGAGCCAAATATCAACACCAAGTAATCGATATTTTCTCATTCGGATACGTGCATATTGTAATGTGATTAATACAACAGTCAAATAATTAAGGTAATTCAAAACCTAGAGCTAAGTCATTTTACTTTGGCATTGTCTGGTTGCAGTTGGGCATAAAAGATTAAAAATGACAGTGATCTTCATGTTTCTATCTCTCAAAGCCCATCATCATGCCCAAGAAGCATAACTTTGTCTTGGTTTCTAAACCAATTGTTAGATATGATAACATCAGTAGAACCTCAACTGACATCAATGAGACCATCTTGACATGTATACAATGTATTATGATCGATCCACACACTTTTCTTGCAGTGACCAATCTTATAGCATCTCTATCCATTTGACCTAGTGGGATCACCTTTGAGTCAGGACCCATCACGGTGCTAGGTGGTTGGGACTTGCAGTGGTGGATTCGTAACCCATGTATGATTATATCAGTCGCTCGATACACGAGGAGACAACCAGCTCAGTTATGTGGATGTCAATACCGCGACCGTCATGGTGGTAAAGCTACTTAAGAAAGCGATCTTCGTAGTATGATTTGCATGCTACTTTTGAAAGTGATCCATAATTTTCCCTTGATCATTGTAGTCCCTTAACGCAAGGTCCCTTGTTTAGGATATAGAGGATCATCAAAAGAATCGACGACCTTATACTTTATGACATCTTTACCGGTGTTGTTTGATCATTTTACCAGTAAAACCAATAGTACATTTAGTCAGTTATTGTCGGTCAAAGAGGGTTCTTTCTCCAACATTTATCGATCACATTCATATTAGCCAAAATTAAATTAGGATTTTTCATTAGAAAGATCATACAAATGACAAATGTGAAGCACCATGATAATATTGTGGTCATTCTTGATTCCTTTTTCTTTGTCTTGATTAGAATAGTGAGAGATAATTGATGGATTTATACAACAAAAAATATTAAATTTAAGATCAAGAATAGTATGATTTAGTTCATTGGGGTTAGGGGTGTGTAAAATTACCCGACCCGCCAACCCGGATTTAAAAAAATCGGGTAATTCTCTAAAAAAAATTACCCGGCCGGGTCGGGTACCCGGCCCGACATTTCCCGGGTCGGGCCCGGGTCACAAAATCTAGTTTTTCCGGGTACCCGGTTACCCGAGTACCCGGTTAGTTTTTATTTTTTTTAATTTTTTTTATATATAATTATATAAAATATAATGAATTATTTATATTATGGATTATTATATTTTGTATTTTGAACTTTTAAATTTTATGTTCGGATATTAGAGTATGTAATTCGAAGTTTCGAACATTTAAATTTGTGTATATATTTTTTTAAATTAATAATTTGAAAATAAAAAATTAAAAACCGGGTATCGGGTATCTGATTACCGGGTACCCGCAAAATCCGGGTACCCGATTACCGGGTACCCGTAATATCCGGGTCGAGACACGGGCCGAGAAATCGTCGACCCGAAAGTTCCGGGTACCCGGAAATCGGGTACCCGAAAATCCGGGTATCCGGATTTGCACACCCCTAATTGGGGTTATGGATTTATAAAATGTTTTCTATAGTGTTATAATTAGAATGATGGTGGTTAATTGTTGGTGTGTTTTTTTACCATATAGTGCTAGTTGGAAATATCTTTGTTTAAGAATTGACTTCTTTTAGTTGAGAAAAAGAGAAAGTGTGAATTTATTTATTATTCTCAAAGAGTTTTGCTCATGGGTTAAAGTCTGGTCAAAATGTGTACTTTGTCTCATCCATTAATTCCCTTTGTATGGAAGCTGAAATTTGGTTAAATGTGAAGTGTTATAATTAAGAAATGAGAGCTTAAATTATGATGTTCTTAACAGTCTGAGAGCATGAAATGAAGTTGGAGCTGGAGATGCTTGCTTGCTAAATTTTCAGTGGTGGTTGTTTCGATGACATCTGTGAGCATTGGGATTTGTTTGCACGATATAATAATAATAATAATCTATGTTTTTGGTACTGAAAAGATGAATAAATTATAATTTGTCTCATTCAAAGAGAAGATTCGCAAAATCATATTTCCTATCATTGTTTATTCCTCGTACGGTATCCTTCTCCAATTCCTGCTGATGCTCCCTCCAGTCTCCACATTGTCGCAAAAAGTGAGAAAACCCCACCAAAATCCTTTTCCAATTCTTTCTCTATCTTCCCCTACGTCACCCCTTTCTTCTTTGTCGCCTTCCTCTCAAATTTCTCGGAATCCAAACAACATTTCAATTCCCCAGCTACCAAAATCCCGGACCAAAACTACTTGGTTTCTCTCCATAGCAGAAAGTTGAGCACCTCAACAAGTACGTTAAATCCAGCCTCCCAGGTGGGTTAGCAGGAAATGCGCCAAGCCGCCAATGCTCGCGTAGTTCTCCAGGAAGGGACCGGAAAATTTATCTGTTGTTCTGTAATAATTTAGTTTTTCAGATGTTTGATAATCTGTAAGTGTTGTGGGCAAAAACAAGTTCAAGCAGTATATAAAAGTTCCATCGGCGTTGCTCGTGCATTATTGCTGAAGGTTAGTGAAAAAAGAAGGATCGTAAAGCTGCGTAGTTTTCCAAACGTCAGAGGGTGTTGGAAACTTGGAAATATACATTTCTTTGCTGTTTGGTTTTGTAGAAAATCTTTTGTAATCAGTATTTCTTTGAGCTTCTTCATGACATTTATAAATCGTCAGAAACCATTTTTCTTTTGGTATACGAGGAACATTCATTATTATATGTTTAATATATAATTTTGTTCTAGAAAATAATAAATTCTTCCATTCTGGTACGGTTTTCACTCTCTCAAAAATCATGGTGTCTAAATTAGAAAAAGAAGAGACAGTTGTAAGTTAGAGGCTTCAGAGTTCTAAGTTCTAAGTTCAAACCCGATTTATACGGGGGCGCATTAACCTGACAAATCAGAAGCCGGTTTATATTATTTAAAAAAATCATTGTCTTCAATTTCTTTTTTTTTTCATTTGTTGGGTTCGTTTCCGTTAACTGTTAATCACACATTTTTTCACATTTCGCGCTCTCTCCCGGAGATTAGGAACCTGGGATACTCACGGAGGTTGGAGAAGGAAGGGAAAAGGTCCAAGGAGTAGGAAATGGCGAAATCGAGCGCGGACGACGCCGAGCTAAGGCGAGCTTGCGACGCCGCAATCGAAGGCACCAAACAGAAGGTCCTGCTGTCGATGCGGGTCGTTAAAAGCCAGGGGATCTGGAGCAAATCTGGTGTTAGTAACGTTACTAGCAAATTGAATCCAATCCCAATGGCCATGAGCATGGGCATGGGAGGGGGCCAAAAGAACATGGCTAAACCTAGAGTCATCGCTATCTGCAGTATGCCCTCTCCATGATCTCATAATTTTCCTTTTTCTCTACTAAGATTTAGGATGCATTTTTTTATTCTTCTCTCTTGAAATTATGACTGCCCAATTATGTTAAATGCAATGTTGAGTTACTGAACTAACTATTACGAACATGTTTATTCTGCAAACCTGGTAGAACAATTCAACTTCAAGAATATTAGCTATGATTTGCCAAAGGATTTTGAATTAAAATAAGATCATTTTTTGTTTTCCTGTTTGTCTTCACGACTTCATGTGGTTTTTGCAGCTAAAAAAAGGGGTCAGCGAACTAAAGCTTTTTTGCGAGTCATGAAGTATTCCTCAGGAGGCGTTATTGAGGTAATTGTTCTTATTATAGTCTTTAAGATAACGTGTGTTAGGACAAACAAGACTTGTGCAGAAAGATTATCTTACAAGTTAATGGTTCTTTATAGAGTAAGCATTGCTATAGTCTGTGACAGACATAAAAATTTATGTTAGGAGGTCGAACTTATAAAATTTTAAGGGGACAAAAACCAATTATCAATAGAAAATATATAAAAAAACTGCCCTCGCCGGCCCCTCCCCCCTTCTTCGGTCCATCCGTGGCTTTAGTGTTACTACATGGCAGCTACAACAGCTGAACTTTAAGTGATTAGGGTGGACATCACAAGGTTGCATTTGGCTTACCTGTGATAGATTTTGACCTCTGAGGCTTAGCTGGTCCATCAGTTTTTTGCTAGGACTTGCTGCTACTCTTGCTTGTGTCTCTGGCTTTATGATGCTAAAATAGTTGATAATTGTTTGTCATACAAGTTTTTTTTTATGTTACTAGAATGAATTATCAGCGTTTGACTAATTGTCTGTTGTGTGCGTTAATGCTGAATCAAGAATCATAAAATGTCCTTGACAAAGTCGGATAGAACTTTGTTTATTATTCGTATGGATCATATCTTTGTTTACTATTGGGTTAACGATGAGGCTCTTAAGTCTGAACTAATAGGTATTCTATTGGGTTTTTTTTTTTGGGGGGGGGAGAAAATTCAAAGCAAGTTTCAAAACCGAAGAGCTTCTCTTGTCTTCACATTTGAATTCTGATTAACTTTCAAGCTCAAGTAACTAAACTTGAAGTGGGATTTTTTGAGATCATATATTGACATGATTTTTTTGAAATTGTGCAGGCTGCTGAGTTATATAAGCTGAAGCATCTTTCAAAGGTGGAGGTTTGTTCTAGTGATCCTAGTGGATGTACCTTTACATTGGTAAGCCCTTTCTTTTGTTCCCTTCTTTTGGTTATTTGAGTAAGAATATTCCGTTGAATTCTGTATGCTTTTTGATCTTTGTCTACTCCTGTAGGCCAAACACTGTTTAGTGACTAGGTCATTTAATGAAGCAATTGAGCTAAAGTATAATATATTTTTACCTTAAACTTCTTTTCCATGCTCTCTCTTAGAGGTGGCAATCGGGCAGTTCGGATTGAGTCATTTTAGCTTCGAGTTATTTTGGGTTCTGGACACTTTTGCATGGGTACTTTTTTAGTTTCGGTCCTTTCAAGTTTGGATTTATGTTCAGTCAGATTTTATTTTATTTTTTTAGTTTAGGTAGGATGTAATCCTTTCTCAATAATTTAAATATTCAGTCCAGAAATAAAATATTTTTTAAATAAGCTTTTTTATAATATGACATTTTTTTATAGTATTTATATCAATTTATTTTTTGTCACAAACAATGATATAAATTAATTTGTTAATACTTGATTATAAAAAAAATGAAACATTATTATTTTGATATTCTAAACAATTGGTTCAATGGATTCTAATATTCAACATGTAAATAAATTATGATTTATATATGACACATATTTTCTGCATCGGAATTTTGTTTTTCATCGTCTAACTGAACTTCTTATAGGGATTTGATAATCTTAGAAGTCAAAGTGTTGCTCTTTCTCCACCTCAGTGGACAATGCGCTACTGTGACGACAGGTGAATTGAAATAGCTATGGACTGAAGATATCACCTTTCTTATTGGGGTGTTTTTGCCCATTTTACGGTTCTTTAACAAAATCAACACTTATCTTCTTTTCTTAATTGTTCTTACAATTGACTGTTGTTGCCTATAATTATTTATTTCCATGTCCTTCAATATTCTTGCAGGAACCGCCTGTTAGTATGTATCTTAAACATCTGCAGAGATTTACTTGGTCGTATTCCCAAAGTTGTTGGTATAGATGTCGTGGAGATGGCTCTTTGGGCTAAGGTGAATTTGATGACTTTATTCTTTCTGAGTACTTCACTGTTGAATTGATACTAAATCATTTCTGTAGATTACTTGAAACTCAGAGAAAGCTGTAATTATGAAGAGTGCAACATAAGCTTTTAGTTGCTGATGCCTAGTGGCCAAGTTTAAGGATATTCTAGATTATATGCCCTTGAGGATTGGTGGTCATTCTTAGGGATATAATTCCCCAGTGTCAAATTCTTTTTTTTTATTAGAGTTTTAAGTAGATTAAACTTCCCTAAAATTCAAGAATCATATTTCAATTTATTTATCTTTTTCTTGTCTTTGACTTGCATATCGTATTTAGGAAAATACACCCTCGGTTACTAATCAAAAGAATCAGTAAGATGGTCCAGTTCCAACTTCAGCAGCACAAGGTGACTTTGAGGTGACTGTTGAAAAGGAATTTGTCTCTCAAGCTGAGGAAGAGGACATGGAGGCTCTTTTGGGCACGTATGTTGATCCTTTGATCTGTTCTAAGGTTGTCAAGTGAAAGCCGGATGTTTTTCACCCTTAATTGAGTGTACAGGTACCTTTTTAATATGTGAATTCTAGCTAATGAAAATTTAGAATGACATAAGACATGAAGCGTACTCGCGTTCAATTCTTTGAGGCTGATGTGGAAATGTTTATATCTTGTTGACTTAGATCCAGAAATCTATCATCTGAGAATGTTAATATATATAAGCTGCATTTTTCTTTTTTAAAAACCAAAATATTCATGTATCACCTGCCAAATCGCTGATGATATGTGTGAGAGAGTTCTATTCTTCAGCAGTGATCAGTGATATTGGTTAGTTTTTGAAAACAGCTAAAAAGTTTGAAGATATGGTTCTTGTGGTCATAGTTCCTTGGTAGTCTATGATTCTTGTTCTTTCTTCTCCGTCTGTTTCATTTGCATGATTGATAAATAATATACTGTTTATTTTGTGTTATTCTTTCTTATGTATATATTGTGTTTGATTGTAAATGTTAAAGAACCTTAATCCAGTCCCAATGTATTTGATTGTAACATGGTAAACAGCTATGTCATGGGCATTTGTGAAGCAGAAGCATTTTCTGAACGGTTGAAGCGGGAGCTTCTTGCTTTGGAAGCTGCAAATGTACATGCTATTTTGGAAACTGAACCTCTAGTAGATGAGGTATTTTCCTTTTTTGATTGTGTTTTCCTCTTGTTTTACTCAAATCTTACTGGCACTATACTATGTTGGGACTGTTAAAATCAATGGCCTTTATTACTCAGTGCTTAGCCCGGTCTCGTTCCATCCCCCTAAGCATTAGGTATCAAGCAGACTTATTAGGTAATCTATGCAGTCTTATTTTCTCCCCATTTTGGATGTACTCAGGTTCACCATTTCTCTAACTAGACTAGTAGCCAGTCCTCTCTTACAGCTGCTATTTACGTTTTTCTACTCCCAAATAGTTCCTTGTGGAAATCATGATTTCTTTATGTTTTTAGGATATTCTTTGGTTTTTCATATGAAAAATCGTAATTAATCTTGGTGATGCTGATGTTCACCCCTCTTAGCAATATGCATCTTATGATTATCCCCCTGAAGCTAATTGTTCTGCTCCTGGCTGTTCAGGTACTGCAAGGGCTTGAGGTAGCAACAAATTGTGTTGATGACATGGATGAGTGGTTGAGCATCTTCAACGTTAAATTACGACATATGAGAGAAGATATTAAGTCGGTAGGGAACCTTTTTTCAACATTCTGTTAATATGTAGGATCCTCTGTTTTCTTCCTGTCTAGTTTGTCATTATTCCGTAATTTATACTTCAAGTTAGTTGGTAATTTCCCCCCTCAAAGTAAATAATGAATATGCAAACTAAATGTTATTTCCTTCAAATTGTAACTTGACTTCTTAGCACGTAACCTTTTTTCACAATATACCAGATAGAAACCCGCAACAATAAGTTAGAGATGCAATCTGTAAATAATAAAGCAATCATTGAAGAACTTGATAAACTCGTTGAAAGATTCAGTATTCCTCCTGAGGTATGTTATCCATTTCTATAAATCTTTTAGACTTTAGTGAAGGTATGCAGCCTGATTCTACTGACAATTTTATTTTTGGTTGTAGTATGCAGACTGTCTGACAGGGGAAGAATTTGATGAGGGTAGCATACAGCAATATGTTGAAGCATGTGAGTGGTTAACTGGTGCTTTACAAGGCCTTAAGTACCTAACCTGGATTCTACTTTTGCAAAAATGCGAGCTGTACGGACTCCTCTCTCATTTCCCACAGTTTCTACAGTTTTGTAGTTAATCAAATTATCCAGTGATTATGAGACACAGGACTAGCTTAACACATCCTGCTTACTTTGATGTTCACTAAAACTGATAGCTTTCTGTAACTTTTATTTTCAGTAACTTGGTGTGGATTAGTATTGCTACTGGTCTGTCTGAATCTGGATTTATTTGGTCTTTTGAGTAAAACGTAGCTTTCTGTCTGTTGTGCCTATATTTTAGGTTAGAGAGAAGCGGGCAGAACTTGGATTAATAAGAGCTACATTTGTCTGTAAAGTTTCTGAGATCTTGAGAAACTACTTTTCCACTATGGTGGATTTTATGATTAATGACAAGAACTATTTCTCTCAGGTATTTCCTTCATGTTATTTTGTCTTGATGATAAAACAATTTCCTAAGCGTCATTCACCTGCTTTATTTTAACAGCGGGGACAGTTGAAGAGGCCTGATCATGCTGAATTGCGGTATAAATGCAGGACGTATGCCCGTCTTCTGCAACATTTAAAGGTCAGATTGCAGATGAAGTCTAAATCTGTAATATTGTGTTTCTGTTATTCTAATATTTTTTTCACTGCTCATTCTCAGAATCTTGATAGTAATTGCATGGGTCCTTTGAGGAAATCTTATTGTGCCTCCCTTAACTTACTTCTGCACCGAGAGGTTGGAATTCAAAATGAAATATTCAATTATCTAGAGAACAAATGCCTCATTCAAACTTGATGTTGTTACAGTGCTTGATAAATAGTTGAAATTCTGTTTAGGCTCGGGAATTCGCCAATGAGCTTCGTGCTAGTACAAAAATATCAAAACCTCCAACTAACTGGCTGGAAGCTTCCACAGGTGGCAGTCAAAGTGGGAATAGTGTAGACACTTCTGCAGTTTCTGATGCTTATGCCAAAATGCTGAGGATTTTTGTTCCACTACTTGTAGACGAGGTTGTATTCCTTCCTGCACGATTTATAAATGGGGTTACAAACATTCTTAAGTTTTAGATTTTTTAAGTTCATGGCTCAAACTGCAGAGTTCTTTCTTTGCACATTTCATGTGCTTTGATATTCCTGGGCTTCTTCCCCAAGGAGACGATGCGGATGGTAATGAGAGTGGATCAGAAGATGATGATGATGATGCCGATGATGATGATCAGGGAACTAAGGGCATTGATGATAATGATGGCAAAGGTGGTAATAATTTCTCTTGTTCCTTTATAGTTTGTGGTAATTTATCTCCTTTCGTAATAGCTCAAACTCTCACCAATGGAATCTATTTTATTTTTCCAGGTAAAACTTCTCCAGAATTGCAAGCATTAAATGAATCACTACAGGATTTGCTTGATGGAATTCAAGTATGTCATTATATTTGTCTTTTGCAGATAGATTTTATGTTTCTTCTTGTTATGTTTGTTATTTGTTTTCTGAACCAGAATTACATTTTAAATTATCAGTGTTTTCTCAAGTTTTGGTACTTTTGTTTTGTTGATGCTCATTGTTTTCAGTTGCTTGCTTGTTCTTATTCTTTTGTTAATAGTGCTTGTTCTCTTGTTTTCGATTCCTCACGGTGTTTTCTTAGTAACACTCCCTGTTTAACAATCTCAATTTCCAGTTTTTCTGGATTACAGGAAGACTTTTATGTTCTAGTTGATTGGGCTTACAAGATTGACCCTTTACGTTGCGTATCCTTGCATGGGATAACAGAGCGCTATCTATCTGGCCAGAAATCTGATGCAGCAGGATTTGTACGTCTCCTTCTTGGTGACCTGGAATCAAAAATTTCAATGCAGTTCAACCGGGTAAATTCATTTGGGAACTGAAGATTTTATTATCCTTTTGCATTTTGCATGAATCTAACATGTTTAAGCTGCAACTAAATTTGTAGTTTGTTGACGAGGCTTGTCATCAAATTGAAAGAAGTGAGCGTAATACTCGACAGATGGGGGTCTTACCATACATCCCTCGGTAAAGTGAATGCTTTTCTGAGAATTCAGAGATTGCAATTTTGCAACCAAGTTGATAAAACGGCAAAGGGAAAAAAATGATATAATTGATTTCAATTAATGATATAATAGATTTCAATTAGTGTCCTTAGGCGATGCTTTATTATTTACTTGCTCATAAGGTTGAACCTCAATTTTAAACTGTTCATATATTCTTATGCACAGCTTTGCAACTCTAGCCACCCGCATGGAACAGTACATCCAGGGACAATCTAGGGACTTGGTTGATCTCGCATACACCAAATTTGTAAGTCCTATTTTGAGCCTGGTGTCCAGGGACAAATGCATGATTTTATGTTGGGAGCGAAAACAAATTATCAATAGAAAATACAAAGAAAAATATAAATTATATGAGAACTTGAAATTTTCAGGGGGATGACCATCCTCGCCAGCCCCCTTGGTCCATCCCTGCTGACGTCCTTTTTATTTTTGATTAATTTTATAATGTGTTTAAGTGAACTAGTGGTGGACGATACAGTTTTATCAGCATCGTAAAAAATGATTCAATTGGCTCCATTTTCTTTCTATGTTATATCTTCTGAATATGTCTCTGTCACTGAAAAAAATATTCACATAGGAAATATTGTTTGGCAGGTTAGCATTATGTTTGTGACTCTTGAAAAACTTGCCCAAACTGAACCAAAATATGCTGAAGTATTTCTTCTAGAAAACTATGCCGCATTTCAGAACAGGTCTGTATCTTCTTTCCCATGATTGACTGGATACAATATTTCTCCTGCTTCCTTGATGGCAATTATCTTTTCCTCTTCTTTCGTGTTACAGCTTATATGACCTGGCCAATGTTGTACAGACTTTGGCCAAATTTTATCACCAAGCAAGTGAAGCATATGAACAAGCATGCCAACGTCATCTCAGCATGATAATATACTTTGTAAGTGACCCACCTTGGTGGCTTTTTCTTTGTTTTATTCATTACTGTTAAGCAGTGATTCTATGTCATTGTGGAAATACTGGAACTTTTTATGTTTATGACACAGTTTTTAATATTTGTTTCATTTTTGCAGCAATTTGAACGACTTTTCATGTTTGCTAAAAAGATTGAGGATTTAATGTTTACTATTCCACCAGAAGAGGTTAACATCATGCTAATGATAGTATTTTGCGAGTTCTTAATTTATGCATCAAGTTTCATCAGATAGTTTTTGATAAGTATCAAGGCTTTGATGTGGATGGTATTCACGTCCCCTCTTTAGACATTGAAATTGAGTGTATTAGTTTTCGAGACACACCTATACTATACAAGTCAATAGTACTTATTTTTTGGAACGAATCATTTGTCTTTTTTAATGCTTTTAATTTATTTTAAATGATTAAATTTATTAATATATATATATATATATATATATATATTTAGGGACAGACACAAAATTTTATGCTAAGAGAGCGAACTTTTAAAATTTTAGGAAGGGATAAACTTATAATATTCTCAAAGAGTTAAAATATATTTTTAATAACAAATACAAAGAAAATATCTAAAATATTTAATAATTTAAAATTTTCAAGCATGACTATCCCCACATGTCTCCCTTCGATTCATCTTGTATATATAATTTTTAAACAATTTTTCATTGATTACACTAGAATGATATGGTTTTTTTTAATGGAATCTTCTAATTTTATTAAAAATAGAAAATATTAAAATTACAATAAAGATTTACAACCACAACTGTAAATTAAACATATAACAGGAATATAATCATGATAACAAATAAACGTCATATTGATCAGTCGTGGCAATATCAAAACCAACCCTAAAAATAAAACAAAAACAACGACCAAACAACCGAAAACGTGTCATAGATGCAGAGAAAAACATACTAAAAAGAAAGAAGAATACGTGCCAAAAATGCAGAATTATGAAGAATAAAAAAACAAATATACCCTATAGTAAAGCAAATGAAAAATGATGAATATCAATGGTCGGCAATCAGTACTAAGACTGGTGTCGACGTCGATCACAAAGATAAAAAAGAAAAGAGACTAACAACGATTATAAAAAAAGAGAGAAAAAAATATAACACACCCTAGTTATTTGAATGAATGATATGACTAAATCTTCTTAAATTAAGAAGTGATAATATTGTTGTTCTTAAATCATTATGATAATTGTTGTGACCGTTATATACTAATCCTAAAAGCATTCCTATAATGGGTTAATTCAGCACGATGTTTTCTAACATGCATATATACATTAACTTTGTTGAAATTCAAAAGCACATGGCGTGGAAATTCAATGCATGGGCGGCTACACAATTCAACAATAATTAGGTTGCTTAATTTTGTTGAATTTGGGCAAGGGTTAATCACCAAATTGAGCCATTGTATTTTAGGGTAATTACAAGATTAGTCCCTAAGTTTCAACTATAAATACCCTAGCTCATTTAACTTCAAAATCATCCCAAAATCTTCCAGTTCTCTCTCAAGTGTGTTTTGTAAACACTTGTAATTTTTCTCTTCAGTAAAAGATCTGCAGCAGTCCGGAGACGTAAGCACAATTGGCTGAACTCCGTTATCAATTTTTCGGGTATTATTTTTCCGCTTTTATTTCGTATTCTCACTAATTTGGCTATAGGGAAATTACTTGTTCTCGTTATATTTCCTAACAACTGGTATCAGAGCTTTTGGTTGTGAATTTTGTCAATTTTTCTGCGAGGTTACTATTCACGTGAATAGTGAATTTCGTGAATAGTAAAATTCGGTCGGCGATACGAGTTTGTCGACAGAGGTGTTCTAATACACGGCGGTTCACAGAAATTGTCAAAAACGATCCAAAGAAGCCAGATTCGAGTGGGAGCGATGGCTGCAGACGAAGGGAAGGTGAAAATTGAAAAGTTCGATGGTGCGGACTTTGGATTTTGGAAGATGCAAATTGAAGATTTTCTGTACCAGAAAAATCTATATCAACCCCTATCAGGAAAACAACCAGAGGGCATGAAGAATGAAGACTGGGCTCTTCTTGACAGACAAGCCCTCGGAGTTATCCGACTGACGTTATCCCGCAATGTTGCTTTCAACATAGCAAAGGAAAAGACCACGGCGGGTCTTATGGTTGCTCTCTCCAGTATGTATGAGAAGCCATCGGCCTCAAACAAAGTTTACTTGATGAGGCGATTATTCAATTTGCGGATGACGGAAGGGGCATCAGTGGCTCAACACCTGAATGAACTCAACACAATCACAACCCAGTTGAGTTCTGTGGAAATTGAATTCGAAGATGAAGTTCGAGCTTTAATTCTCTTATCATCTCTACCAGACAGTTGGAATGCTACTGTTACAGCAGTTAGCAGCTCGTCGGGAAATAGTAAATTGAAATTCGACGATGTTCGGGATCTGGTACTGAGCGAAGAAATTCGACGGAGAGAATCGGGTGAAGCATCAACCTCCTCAGCCTTGCACACGGAGTCCAGAGGGAGAACTTCAGAAAGAAATTCAAATCGTGGCAGATCCAAATCCAGACGGGAAAAATCCAGAATGGGAAAGAAAGATTTTACCTGTTATAATTGTGGCAAGAAAGGTCATTTTAAAAGAGATTGCCGAGCACTGAAGAAAGATACCGATGCACAGGAATCTGCCAACGTGACAGAGGAGACATGTGATGCCATGATTCTAAGCGTCAACAGTCCGATTGAATCATGGATCTTGGATTCAGGGGCATCTTTCCACTCCACCCCATGCCAAGAAATCATGGAGAACTATATCAGTGGTGATTTTGGGAAGGTTCATCTTGCTGATGATGAAACCTTGAAGATCGTCGGAAAAGGAGATATCCGACTAAAGTTGCCAAACCAGACCACCTGGAAGCTGACAGGAGTGAGACATATTCCTGGCCTCAAAAGAAATCTGATTTCTGTTGGACAGCTTGATGGAGAAGGATATAGTACAACCTTTTCAGGTTGTGAATGGAAGATTATCAAAGGAGCACTCGTCATTGCTCGTGGTAAGAAGACTGGTACTCTCTATGTAACCTCAAATTTAGAGAATATCATTGCAGTAGCAGATGCTGATGGAAAATCAAACCTATGGCACCAAAGGCTTGGCCATATGAGCGAGAAAGGAATGAAGATACTTCTGTCAAAAGGGAAGCTGCCGGATCTAAAGAATGTGGATGTCGGACTATGCGAGGATTGCATCTTTGGCAAACAAAAGAAAGTCAGTTTTGCAAAGATTGGCAAGGCACCCAAGGCAGAAAGGTTAGAATTGATTCATACTGATGTATGGGGACCATCCCCAGTTCCATCTCTTGCAGGCTCACTATATTATGTCACATTCATCGATGATTCAACAAGGAAGGCGTGGGTTTATTTTCTGAAGAAGAAATCAGAAGTCTTTGATACCTTCAGAAAATGGAAGGCCATGGTGGAAAATGAGACTGGTTTGAAAGTCAAGAGGTTGAGGTCTGACAATGGAGGAGAGTATAGAGACAGTAGATTCAGAGATTTCTGCGCAAACAATGGGATTAAGATGGAGAAAACAGTTCCCATAACACCGCAGCAGAATGGCATAGCAGAGCGCATGAACAGAACTCTGAATGAACGTGCTAGAAGCATAAGGATACATGCCGGATTGCCCAAATTTCTATGGGCTGAAGCTATCAACACTGCAGCTTACCTGATCAACCGTGGGCCCTCTGTTCCTTTGGATGGCGGAATACCAGAGGAAGCTTGGAGCAAGAAAGAAATAAACCTTTCACACTTAAGAGTGTTTGGTTGTATTTCTTATGTACACATAGACTCTGCTGAAAGAAGTAAACTTGATGCTAAGTCCAACAAATGTGCCTTTGTTGGTTATGGCGGTGATGAGTTCGGTTACCGGTTTTTGGGACTACGAAAATCGAAAGATCATCAGAAGCAGAGACGTCATTTTCAATGAAAATGTGATGTACAAAGACAGGTCAACCGCAGAATCAAGTAATACCGAGGCTGAAACAAAGGAATTTGCTGAGTTTGAGGAGATTTCTGGAAATGATGTTCAGATCAGTCCTGAAGCAGTTCAAGAGGAAGAACCAGGCACACCAGAACTGAGACGCTCCTCCAGAATTCCTAAACCAACCCAACGGTATTCGCCTTCTTTACACTACTTGTTGCTGACTGACAATGGTGAACCAGAGTGTTATGATGAAGCAATGCAAGTGGAGGATTCAGTCAAGTGGGAGTCTTCCATGAAAGATGAGATGGACTCGCTTATGTCAAATCAGACGTGGGAATTAGCTGAATTACCACCAGGCAAGAGAGCGCTCCACAACAAGTGGATTTACAGGATCAAAGAAGAGCACGATGGGAGCAAACGCTACAAAGCAAGATTGGTTGTCAAAGGCTTTCAGCAAAAAGAAGGTATTGATTACAATGAAATTTTCTCTCCAGTCGTGAAACTGTCTACAATCAGACTGGTGTTGAAAATTGTAGCTGCAGAAAATTTACATCTTGAGCAGTTAGATGTAAAGACAGCTTTCCTTCATGGTGATTTGGAGGAAGAAATCTATATAAGGCAGCCAGAAGGCTTCATAGAGGCAGGCAAGAAAAACCTGGTATGCAGGTTGAAGAAGAGCTTGTATGGTTTAAAACAAGCTCCTAGACAGTGGTACAAGAAGTTCGATAGTTTCATGGGTAGCAGTGATTTTACCAGATGCCAAGCAGATCATTGTTGCTACATCAAGAGGTTCGACAACAGCTTCATTATTTTATTATTGTACGTTGATGACATGCTCGTTGCAGGCTCAGACATACAAGAGATTATACACTTAAAGCAAAAATTGTCGAAGCAGTTTTCTATGAAGGATCTGGGCGCTGCAAAGCAGATTCTTGGGATGAGGATCAAGAGAGACACAAAGTCGGGGACTTTGATGTTATCACAGGCTGAGTACATCAACAAAGTACTCTCCAGGTTCAACATGCAAGATGCTAAACCAGTAAATACACCTTTAGGTGTTCATTTCAGACTCTCCAAAGAACAGTCACCAAAGACGGAGGAAGAACGTGCACACATGGTGAAGGTGCCATATGCCTCTGCAATTGGAAGTCTGATGTATGCCATGGTTTGTACCAGACCAGATATTGCTCAAGCAGTGGGAGCTGTTAGCAGGTACATGAATAATCCAGGCAAAATACACTGGGAAGCAGTCAAATGGATCCTCAGATATCTGCGAGG